TTTACATTATATATTTACATTACTTTTTTTTTTTTCAAAAAGAAGCTAAATTATCCTATAACGTTCTTTCCAGACTGAGTTAGAAGGACAAAGCAGTCCAGTACAGCATAGTTTAGGGGCAAAAGCTATTTCCCCACAAGGGTTGTGGAAGGACTCTTGAGCAGAATATTTCTACCTAAGTCTATTTGAAACTGCTATGTCAGACCATGGCAGCACTGTGCTAGGTGCCCCGTTAACAGCGCCTCAGAATCATAGTGGTTGGAAAAGACCTTCAAGATCATCAAATCACGGATGGGAAAAGTTTCTAGTCTATCTATTCCTTTAGGAAAATAAGAACAGAAATCACAGAAACGCAGTAAAAGTTTCTAGTCTATCTATTGCTTTAGGAAAATAAGAACAGAAATCACAGAAACGCGGCTGCGGCCTCTTGAGTTTTTACTTATGGAGTTCTATCTCCTGTCTAGTTGCCTCTGTGAGGGCATGGGACCATATGCTGTTGCTGCTGCAACTATTTACATACATACATTATAACAACAAATTTATGTAATACACTGTGGACGTATTGGGGGAAAAAAGGCAAGCAGTTTCTGAGGTATATGTGAACAACCTTTGTGCCTTTTGTCACTATCTTTCATTGAATTTTAAAATAAGAATGATAATAAGGAGACTTGAAAAAAAATGCAGATTATTTCCCCCTTAGGAGAACAGCATCTTGACTAACATGACTTTTTTTTTAATTAAAATAATGGGTAATCTCACATGACACTGTACTTAATTTGGTGATATTCAATATTTATCTGGTGAATTGTAGATAGAATAATGTCTAAATTGTTTATCCCAAACAACTTCTCATTAAAAATCAATTAGCTACCATGAAGTCAGAAATCCTTCAAGCACTACGAAGTGCATGGGGGATTAAAAAAGTAAAACAAAAGTGTGCAAGCTTTAAAAATATCAGTAAGCATTGCTCTGCTCATTCACTACCCAGATGTGCCATGGATTATCACAAAAAAAGCAGCGATAGGGAGAAAGTGGAATTGCAAGCTCCTACTATTGACTCTGCTTCATAACCAGCTCTTGATAAATGACGTAGCCTCTCTGTGCATCCATCAGGATATTAAAAGACAGGGCAAATCCTGCAGTGCCTGCCTGAGCACACTTGCTCTCCCGCATCTTCTGTTCTCCTGCATCCCTACGTGGGATCCTGGCTCCGGCACATATCGATCTCCTCTCTGCAATACCTACCGATGGAACAAGAGGAAATGGCCTCAAGTTGCACAAGGGAAGGTTCAGGTTAGACATTAGGAAGAATTTCTACRTGGAAAGAGTGRTGAAGCCTTGGCACAGGCTGCCCAGGGAAGCGGTGGCAGTCACCATCACCATCCCTGTGTGTGGAAAACACACACAAGAAGTTTGGGCTTGAGCAGAATACACATCACAAGTTTAAAGTTTGTATCTTTAATATATCTTTAATAAGCAAGACAAAGGAACCCAGACAGGTGGTAGACCGAGCGGAGCCAGGAGTGGGGGGAGAGACTGCAGGGAGCCTGGAGCGAGARGCACACAAAGGAGTCAAGTGACCCGAGGTGCGAACACGTGCAGGGAGGCACCGAGCTGGGCACCCGGGCAGGCTGTGACTCCTGAGCCCCTTGGCCAATGGGGAAAAGCAGAGGGCACCACGGCTGGGAGATTAGGATAAAAGGGGGCTGCGTCCCCCGGCAACCTGAGAGACCTCACAGGGATGTGCCCAGTGGACTCTCCCTTTATTCGAATAAAGTTTTGGGTCTCCTGTCTCCTTTTGGACATTCAGTTCTTGGACAGCGAGATTTTTCCGCACACCTGGCAGTGCTCAGGAAATGTGACGCTTAGGGACACGGTTTAGCAGGCAGCGTGGTGAAGGGCTTGGGGCTGAACTTGATGATTTCGAAGATCTTTTCCAACCATAGCAATTCCGTGATTCTGTGACTAAGGGCCTGGCTGCTTCATTGTCAGGAAACGCTCGCTGGTGAGGGCGGTGTTTACACCCAGGCCTTCGCCCTCCCTCGGGAAGGGAGCAGCGGCACCGGGGCGTTTGCCGCTGCGTGGCCACAGCTCCGCGGGTCAGCCTGGCCTCGACAGCTCGTTTTTAGCGGTAGCAACAATAACCCCTCATAGAAAACACTGCTGGGAAAGCAGAGGACTGCTGTGGGCAACAAGTAAAGACAAGAAGGTCAGAAATGAGTTGGCAGAGACACAGTATTCAGTGATGTTATCTATTTATTTATCTACTTCTTATCTACTTCTTCACCCCGCTCCTCCGTGAGCGAGCCGGGCTCCCAACGGCCGCTCGCGCACCAGCAGGGGGCGGGGGCGCTGGGTGCGCGCGCGCGTGCGCGCGGGAGGAGGGGCGCTGACGAAGGCGGAAGCGGAGCCGCCGCGCGCGGAGGGGAGGGATGTAGCGGCGCTTGTAGCGGCGCTGGCAGCGGCCGCCCGCCCGGCTCCGCCATGGAGGTAACGGGGCGGGGAGCCGTTGGGGGGAGCCGTTGGGGGGAGCCGTTGGGGGTCGCGTGACTTCGCGGCCCCCATCTCCCTCCTCCGCGGCCGTTGACGCGCGGTTCCCCGCCTGCCCCGAGGGCATGGGCGGCGCAGCGGCCGGGCAGCCCGGGCCTCCGCGGGCCCCTTCCCCCGGCGCCGCCGCCTTTAGCGGGGGGAGCCGGGCGCGGGCGGCCCTGTGGCCGCNGGCGCGGGCGGCCCTGTGGCCGCGGCGGGAAGGCGCGGGGGCCGCCCCGGCTGCGCAGCCCGCGGGGAGGCGCCGGCTTCGGCCCGAGGTGCGCGGGGGGGAGGCGGCGCGTGCCGGGCCGGCTGCGCCTCCCGCCGCTGGGCATAGCCCGAGGGAACCGGCTTGGGCTGGGAAACGCCGCCGACACAGGCAAATGAAGTCCCCGAAACGCACGTGTCCAGTGGGCCTTGCATAACGCCCCGGAGGAGTCCCAAGGCAATGCTTTAAATTTCATGCACTTAATTAACTCCCAGTAGTTGCTGAGCTGGGCACTTTGTAATTATGCCCCTGTTTCCTAAAGCAGTCTGAATTCAGATTGTTTTAATGTGATCCGGTATGTTCAGATCTGAATGATCATCTGAAGCTCTCACGCTGCTCAAAACATCACTGTTCCTGTTGGTCATCGCTGTTGCAGCGGTGTGAAATGTCATTTAAGATACAGTGTTCCTGCATTGGCTTGTCTCTCCGAATAGGTGTTTAGTGCTCCAAAAAGTAGGGAGTAGAGAACAAAAATGCGATGACAGCAATGACTCTACAACAATGACAAAAACAACAACAAAAAGCACACGAGGCATGGTAGGCTGTGCTTTGGAACCCCCTTAGTAGGTGAGGTAGGCCTTAAAGAAAGAAAAAACTTATCAGTAAAGCGTAGAAGCATAAGCAGCTTTCAGAATGAAGGAGTAGGAATTTAGGAATCCACACAGGATTATCTTCAGCATTGTGCTTAAGAGTATTATCTCTTTTGGCTCATGGCTCAGATACACCTAATCCTTAAACAAATTTATTTTTTTTTAATTAACATCTTTCTCTGCATTCTTCTAATTAAGACAAGTAAAGCTCCCTACATGGGCTGCTTAATATCTTTTACCACAGCAGCAAATCTGGATGCACCTCCTTGCATGATAAGTTCTGCTTTTATGTACRTTAGTGTAAAGAAGAGCAAAAGCGACACGTTGATTTATTTGGCTTTATTCTAACATCAAGAGATGCTGCCATCATTATTTTTAAGCACAACTGACAATTTGTTGCACCCAAGTGTTCCATGCAAGTGTGTTGTTTGTAGYGGCAGTGTTTTGCTAGCAGTGCTGCTCAGATGTAAGAATTTAAATGTTGAAGGTCAGTGTCTAAGAAAACCTGAMTTTTAGAAACTTGTTTACAGTGTTAACTGTATAACATTATACAATAACATTATAATTCTAATACATTATATTATTACATTATTGCAATTATTATATTGTAATTATTGTATTGTATTATTGTATTATATTATTACATTATTATTACAATTATAATACAATAACAATAACATTATAATTCTTTCTATGTTTCTTTGACAAGCACACCCTCTTCTCATAAATTTGCCCTTAACTTCTCAAAGACTCTAGCCCATGTAGTACAGAGAAATACCATAGCTTTGTCCTTGGTCTGTACTTGAACTCATATTTCACCTTTTTTATTATCTCTCCTAGCTGTTCTCTAAATTGTTAATTAGTGATTATCCCTAACAGTAATAACTGGATTCATTTTGTTTTCAGAGTTTCTTTTGCACATTTTTATTTATCTGAATAAAGACAGTAGCAAAATGAAACTGAAGGCATAGTACCTAGTCTGATAGTATGAAAGAAAAAGCAAGATGAGTCTCAAATCTTGGAAATGCCACCTGCAATATTTTGGAAATGTGTGTCCCTTTTTCATTACTGTGTCTTAGTTATGGCTTTTTTTTTTCCTTATGTTTCCAGGTATATGCGAGCATATCTTTATATGCACCCACTCTGAAGTAATGTGGAGTCTCCCAGAATAGATCTGAGGAGGCTTGCAGTAAAGCGTTACACGCTTATGCTTGGAGTAGAGAGGCCAGGCTTTACAAAGCCTGATTTAACTGACCTCCSTTTTCTTAAATAGATCTTTTAGTTATTGAATCACAGTTTCATAACCAGTTGTAAATAAAATKATTTTTCTGTAGTATGTTAACGCTGAGTAGGGTGTTTGTAGCATAGTTACTGACTTAAAAATTAGTTTCTCTTCTATTCTGCTTTTATATTGGGCTGACTGCAATAAATCTTTAAGGAAAATTCCACTCTTATCTTTCTGACTACTACTAGTAGTAGTCAGAAATGGTTTTGCTTCCTTGAGCTCCCGCTACCCTTGCTTATTCTCGGTGCGTGCAGACTTTCAGTTACTTCCTTCAGGAGTCTGCATAGAAAACTTCAGTTTTCGCATACTAGGCTTTATTTCATTGCAGGTACAAGATGCTGGGCAAGAGATGGTGGCTTCTCCTGTCACACCAGGAACAGGCAAATCAAAGGTAATCTCACTTCACAAATTCTTTTTGCTTGGATAGCAGAGGTTAAGGAGTATAGCTTCCTAGTAGCTGTAAAGATATTTTTATTAAAGATGCATAAAAACATTTTAATGCATTTCTGTCTCTTCTAATACTTCTTGAAAATTGAATTTGCAAGTGCTAGGCTCAGGAAAGCTTATTTTGGAAATTATGGAACAAAATTTCATTATAGCGTATTCACTTCCTGAGATAATATTTGATCAGATATTTATAGCATTTGGTTATGGAAATAGTATGTTTCCTTATGTACTCATACTTGCTGGCCTAAATTTCCTTGACCAGGCCTAATTTCCTTCCAGTAAATTAAAAAAAAAACAGTAATGTTAGGTCAGCATGCTCTCTAAAACATTGTTCAAGTTATATCACTCCARAGATCCAGCTATTTTTTAGGGGAGTTGGGGGGAGTATGACAGTGCTTATGGGCTTCATATTTTTTCCTGGTATTTTTCAGTCTGCCTATTGCATTGGAGTCCTGCCCAGTTAAGGTTGTTTTTCTAACAGATGCTTACTCACTCACATGTTCTAGGATAAGCTTGGAAAAGTACTAAATTAACAGTAGTTTCTGCAGTTACATCCATGTAGTTATACAGTAAGACCTTTTTTTGTCCTAAATCTTAACATCGTGAAAATTGGAAGCTAAAATACTTCTTTGCTGTTTACTTCTCTATTAGGGGAAGCTGGATTTTATAATAATGTACCTTCTTACAGCTGGACACTCTGCCCAAAGAAGATCTCATCAAGTTTGCCAAAAAGCAAGTGATGCTTATACAGAAAGTGAAATCAAGGTGTACAGGTACCTTACTGGAGGAATAATTGGTACTTTAGTGCTTGATACTGATTGACTTTTTATCAATGATTTGAATGATGAGACGGAGTGCACCCTGAGCAAGTTTGCAGATGATACTAAGCTCAGTGGTGTGGCCGACACTCCAGAAGGCTGTGACCTGGACAAGTTGGAGAGTTGGTCAGAGAGGAATCTCCCGAGGTTCAACAAGGACAAGTGCAGGGTCTTGCCCCTGGGGAGRAATAACTGCAGGCATCAGTACAAATTAGGGGTCGACCTGCTGGAGAGTAGCTCTGTGGAGAGGGACCTGGGAGTCCTGGTTGACACCGAGTTAGCCATGAGGCAGCAGTGCYCTCGTGGCCAGGAAGGCCAATGGGATCCTGGCTGCATCAGGAGGATGTTGCCAGCAAGTCAAGGGAGGGGATCCTGCCCCTCTCCTCAGCTCTGGTGAGGCTGCACCTGGAGTATTGGGTGCAGTTCTGGGCTCTCCGTTATAAAAGAGACATGGAGCATCTAGAGAGGGTCCAACGGAGGGCAACCAAGATGATTAAGGGACTGGAACATCTTTTGTATGAGGACAGACTAAGGGAGCTGGGCCTGTTTAGTCTAGAGAAGAGAAGGTTGAGAGGAGATCTGATTAATGTGTATAAATACCTGAAAGGTGAATGTAGAGAGGAAGGGSCCAAGCTCTTCTCAGTGGTGGTCAGTGACAGGACAAGGGGCAATGGGTGTAAGCTGGAACACAGGAAGTTCAATCTCCAGGTGAGGAAGAACTTCTTTCCTGTGAGGGTGATGAAACAGCGTAGCCTGTGCTAGTTGAAGCAGGACCTGTTGTTATCTATTCCCTATAGGTGTCACAGTGATAAGCTTTCCAGGAAGCAGACAGGAGAGTCAAAATCTCTAATACATTTTGCGTAATTTTGCGTAATGGATTGTGCATAATTAATCCCGTTGTAGAACATGATAGCATCTTAAAAAGGCTAGCTGCTTTATATTTGATTTGCTGCTTTAATGAGAAATTGTGAAAACACTAAATGGAGTTAAGTTAACCACAAGAAGACTGCATAGCTGTACTAATGTATTCTATGACTAGCAGAACTGGTGAATGTTGCTTATGTTCTTACACGTCCACTTCATACTCTGCATCCACTGTATGTCTGTTCTCTCTGCTCTGTTGCCCTCTTTTGCCCCTTTTCCTCTTGCCCACACTTTTGCCACTTTTGACTGGTGATAATTGCTTAGCCAGAAGAATAACTGTAGGGATGGGCTAACAAGGTTCTTTTTAAAGTGGGGTCATTCATGGATCTTGTTCTTCTGCTTGCAGCCTATCTATTTAGAGTACCTGTAGGAACTGAATGTGTTTTCTCTGGCTAAAATTGGTTATGTCAGAACCAAGGAAGAAATACTGCAAGTTTGTTTTCTCMTTCCTTCCCCCCTCCCTCCTTCCTCTTCTCCTTCTGTCCCCAATACTCAATAACAAATGAAAATCTTTAATAGAAAAGATACCTTAGATTTGGACAGGAGTAGTGTTGTGGATTTATAAATATAATACTTTTATAGAGCATCAGTAAAGGTTTACTGTGAAATTTCTATTCAATTTCTTTTTAAGAACTGGAGAAAGAAATTGAAGAACTCAGATCTAAAGCAGCTACTGGAGGAGCTGATGATATTATTCAGGTAGGATTATGAAATGTATTTCTGATGCATCGTATGTTTTTACAGAGATACGTTAACAGAAATAGCTGTAAAAGTATTATTCAAATTGACTGGGATCAGTTTCAGAAATTCAAGATACTTTCCAAAACCTCCTCTTCTCTTCTCTTAATCTCCCACTTCCCTGCTTTACTTTTCAGAAAACAGTTTTAATTATGTGAGAGRTGACTTGTATAGAATAGCACAGTCTCTCTGGCAAGAGTTTGTCCCAACGTACAAGGTTAGGAAAGCTTTTTCTTCACCTCACATTTTTTCTGTTGTGAGGAAAGACGTTAGCCATTGATGAGTCTTCTGAGACAGTTATTTGACAAGTTTAGAAACTCACAGAATTAAACAGCTTATCAAAAGAAATACCCTCTGGAATGTAACTGATATTTAAAATGTTAATTTTGGTGGGAGGAACATCACACTATCTAAATGTAAAAGCTGTATAAAGCACATCAGTGAAACCTGGGTGTGTGATGGAACTGTCAACTGCTAACATGTTTGCAGTGGTTTTAATGAAGTTTTTATTTACCTTCTGAAGGAGAGCTTCTTTTGCCTTCTTCCCATCTTGTTGTAAACTGATAATCTGATTAGAAAAGAGATTTTAAACAGAATTTACTCCTCTACATTGTTCATTAACTATGATATTTGAGTTGAAAGTAGCTTTTTAGATCAGATGTTTAATTAACTAAAAATCGGAGTTCTTACTGCTCTTCAAAAATTACTGAAGGGTAATAATTTTTAAGAAACCGTCCTTCTTACGTTATTTCTCTCTTAAACATAGGCTCTCACTGAAAGATTGGATGTTGTCCTTCTGGAAAAAGCTGAAAGTCAGCAGCAGTGTGTAGCTCTGAAAAAAGAAAATATTCAAAGAAAACAAGAAGCAGAGGTACTGAAATGAGCAATAAAGCATTCTTAAAATATTTCAGACAGATATTTAACTTAATTTCCTGGTCCTATTGTATATTTCACTTTTTTTGTCTTTTTCTTCATTCAGCTATGTTCTGTTGCACCTTAAAAAATACTAAACCTTAAAAGGTTTCATATGTTAATGCATATTTTATCTGTAGGCTGTAATTTRTAGTCTTTATAGTACCATTTATAGGACTGATGATAAATATATTCRTTAGATCTACAGAAATTCAGAAAGGTTCTTACCCTTATGGTTAAGAAGGCCAAAGGTACCTGGGGTACATTGGGAGGAGTGCYGCCAACAGCAGGTTGAGGGAGGTGATTTATCCTCCCTCATTACTCAGTCCTGGTGAGGCCGCACCTGAAATGCTGGATCCAGTCCTGGGTTCCCCAGTACATGAGGGATTTAGAGCTGTGGGAGAGAGTCCAGCAAAGGACTGCAAAGGTGATCAAGGGACTGGAGTATCTCTGAACATGAGGAGAGGCTSAGAGAGCTGGGCCTGTTCAGCCCAGAGAAGAGAAGGCTGGGGGGGGATCTTATCAGTGAGTACAAATACCTCAAAGTGAGGGTGTCAAGAGGTTGAGGCCAGACTCTTTTCAGTGGTGGCCAGCGATAGCACAAGAGGCAGCAGCCACAAACTGAAGCACAGGGAGCTCTGCCTAAACGTGAGGAAGAACTTCTTGTCTGTGAGGGTGACAGAGGCCTGGAACAGGCTGCCCGGAGAGGCTGTGGAGTCTCSTTCTTGGAGATATTCACAACCTACCTGGACATGATTCTGTGCCACGTGCTCTGGGTGTCCCTAGGTAGGGGCGGCGGGGCACTAGATGATCCCCAGAGGTACCTTCCAACCTCAGCCATGGTGTATTTCTGTGATTCAATCTGAGCATTAGGAGCCTCCACGCGTGATATCTTGCCCCATCGGTTAAGTGTGTCGTTCTATAGAAAACATAGTTTTACACTCTGATATCCCTAGGGAGGAGCCCGTAACCAAGATGCCTAAATCTCAGTAATCTCAATTAATAATAGACTGTAGAATGTAGTGTCTGTTATGTGGAATGTAGTGTTCCAGATGCATGGATTTGAGATGATAGTTAGCAACTGTTCTAATTATGTACTGAAGACCAGTTTACTTTTATTAGAGCTGAGATTGCTTGTGACCCTTTCATGAAAGCGCTAGTAAACATGACTTAAGGTGTAACAGTTCTTCTRTCTCGTGTTACGAACAATATTGCTGTACTTGCTGCACAGTCTTTTCTCAACTGAACTGCTAAAAACACAGTTTAAAAACTGCAAATATTTCTAAAACTCCAAAAACTCATCAGCTATAACAGTTAATTTGGAAATTCTTCTTGCTCTGTTCCCGGTATTTAATAACTTGTGTATTTCTTTAGGCTGCAGCGGCTAAGACAGAAGAATTGCAGAAGCAACTGGAGCAGTCCAGTATTGACTCTGTGAAAGAAATCAAAGCTCTAAAGAGTGAATTAGTAAATGCACAATCCAAATACAGTGAGGATATAACAAAGCTGAAGAAAGAATTAGAGGAACAAGAGAAGAAACAAATGGGACTTGTGGAACAAATKGAGGGTAATAGTAATAGTCAAGAAGAAGTTAAAAAACTCCAGGATGAAGTTGAGAGAATTAAATGTGCTTATGAAGAGCAAATTTTGCATCTGAACAAGCACTTGGAAACTGTGAATGATGACAAAACCAAAGAATTGGCAAATCTGCAGGAAACTATTAAAAATAATTCTCAGTGTTACAATAATGAAATTAATAACCTACATGAAGAGCTTAAAAAAATGAAGAGTGCCCATCAGGAAGAGGTTTCAGAATTGATGCTTCAGATTGAAATGTCTTCTAAAGAAAATGMAGAAAAGCAGAACCAGATAAATCAATTGCAGAAGAATTTGGCAGAGCAGAGTATAATAAAAGAGGAAAATGTGAAGGATGAAGTATATGCTGCCACTGACCAGCGTGAATGTGACTTAGAACAGTTAAGAGAAGTCCTACATGAAAACATAGAAAAACGGATAGATGCTGTAGATGCCCAAGAGCAGCCTCCYGCAGAAGCAGAATTGGAAGAAAAGGTTAGATACTTAGAGCATAATTTAGAAGAGTTCCAGTCTCAACATAGTATATTAAAAGATGAACTAACCTATATGAATAATGTTAAACTAAAACTGGAAGAAGAAATCCATCGCATAAAGGATGAATATTTTCATGAGCGGGAAGACTTGGATTTTAAAATAAATGAATTGCAGCTCACTAAGGAAGATTATTGTTGTGCAATTGAAAAATTAAAGTCGGAGCTTCAAGCAACAAAACACCACTGTGAAATCACTGTAGAAGAACATAAATTAGAAACTCAAGCTCTGAAAGAGCAACATGAGAGAGAAATTTCTAAACTAAATGCAACTTTGTTATCCAATGCTGAAAAAGAAAATATGGCATTAGTCTTCGAAATACAGGAACTTAGGGAACAACTTGAAAAGCTCGCTCAGGAGAAAGAAGAAGCAGTGTGCAGTTATGACAGCCTGAGAGAAACACTGGAGACCCTACAGACTGAGCTAGGGGAATCAGCTGGAAAGATCAGCCAGGAGTTTGAATCGATGAGACAACAGCAAGCTTCTGATGTTAGTGAACTTCAACAGAAACTCAGGGCTGCTTTCAATGAAAAGGATGTTCTTCTTGAAACTATAAATCGCCTCCAGGAGGAAACAGAAAAGTTGTCATCTAATCAGCTTGAGGTAGAAGAACTCAAACATAAAATTGTTGCTCTYCAGGAGGAGAACGAAACAATAACAAGCCGTGTCCATGAAAAAGAGATGGCCATAAAAGAACTGGAAGAAAAGATCATTGTTCTCGCCGATCAGAACCAGGGTATTTTAAATGAAGTAAAATGCTCAGATGAAGAGAGAGACACTCTTCAGGAAAGATGCAAACAGGAGCAGGAAAAAGTTCAGGAACTTCAGCAACAAGTAGATGCTCTTAGCCAGTACAATAATGACCTGGAAATAAAGGTAAATGAATTAAGAGAGAGACTGAATGAAACTTTAAACATGAAGAATGAAAATGCACACATCGTAGAGCAACTGGAAAGCCAAATTGAGTCTCTAAAGTCTGATAGAGAGCATCTTGCATCAGAAGCAGATACTCTGCATGAGGAAAATAAGAAAATAATACAGGAAAAAGGTAGATTAAGCGAAGAGCTGGAGAAGATTGYATCGGAAAAAGAAACTTGGTCAGTGTTGAAAGAGCAATCAGAAAACTTAGAAAAGAAAATACAAACGATAAATGGAGAAAAAGACCATTTATCAACCTTACTTGAAAGTGAACAAGCACACAGCTCTCTTGTTAGAACTCAGCTGTGCTGCTTAATTGAGCGAATGGGGTCCAAAGTTTCATATTCTGAGGAGGAACATGATTCTCTTAGCTTACTGAATACTGCAAATGAATGCTTGGCAAGAATGAAAGAAGAACAATGTCTTACTCTGGAGAACGAGGAGAAAGCTCTTCATCTGCAGCAAGAAGTTGAAAGATTGGAGCAAGAAGTCATAGCTCAAGATACAGAACGTAGGTCTCTGCTTGAGGACTTTGGAAAAGAAAAGGCTCTTTTAAGAGAAGAATTGGAAGGAGCATTGGCTGAAAAAGAAGCACTTCAACATGATATCCAGGAACTGAAGAACGTCAGTGAAAAAACAAGGATTGAAAATCAAGATCTTTTGATTCATATCGAAGACATCTCTCAAAAACTTGCTTTTTGTGAAAGTCAAATACAAGAGCGGCAAAAAGAATCTGCCACAGAAAAACAAGGAGACCTAAACTTCATTCTGGAACAGAAGGAAACTGAACTTAGAAATGTGAAAGACGAACTGAGTTCTCTAAAGGTTATATTTTGTTATTGAAGTATACAGACTAAACCTCTAAAGTCTTCAGAATTAAGGTTCAAAAATTACTTTCTTTCTTTTTTTTTATTTTTTTTCTCCTTCCTTCTCCTTTGGTTCAGAGTGAGTTTCCCTTTTAAAAAGCACACATTTTTTTAGTATCCTAACATATCATATTCTCCTTTCTTCTGCTGGGAAAAAAAATAACACTATTTTACCAAAAGATGTTTGTACTCAGCCTTTTCCATTTCTACCAGTGCTCTCCRAAGTTATCACTTAACTGGGTGACTAACTGACCTGAGTCTTTCACTCTGACTTTTTATGACTTCACTCCAACTTTCTGTGACTGTATCTCAAACACGATTGTTACTTGAACTGCAAAGCTATTGTTAAATTCAATTCCATGGGCTTGATGCTTACGTAGAATTTATAGCTGGTCAGAATCAAGTCTCCCATTTTTTGTTTTCCAACAGGATGAAAAGCATCAGTTAAAAGGTTGGAATATCTTTCAACATAAGTATGCTTTTCAGTTACCAAGCTAATATGAATTGTACATACAAGCTTTCTTGGTATTGAGAAGGTAGACAGAATTCAGTGATAGCTGGAATTTTTATTGTTTTGTTGAGGAAAATCAGTCAAAACAAAGAAATGTTTCTAATACTTTTTGTATCTTTGCTTATAATACAGGATTTAATGGAGACATTTACCAGGAAAAATGATCAACCATCTTCAATAGCAGAGCTTCAGGAAAAAATTGGTATCTTTCTCCCTGTTGTGATTATGGATTGTTAAACACTTGGGATTTCTTTTTCTCTATGTAATTACCCTATATTTCCTAGAAGCTGAGGGAGGTTGGAAGTTAGATATGCAAATAACATCCCTTCCATCCAAATAATATTTCTTCCATTAGAGATTCAAAATAATGTTAGCAATTGAAATCTGTTATGGTTTGATATTTCTTAAATTTTCATTTCCTGTCTACATTGTCTATAAATATTGCAGTAGATTTTTTAATATGAAAATAATTGTGTCATTGGGAGCCTTTAAGGCTGCTAAGAAGAAGGAAAAGTACTTTTCCCCAAAGTACTGCTGCTTCGTTGCAGTTATTCCAAAACAGTAGAGAGGAAAAAAAAAATCTAAATTATTGCAGGCTTATGTAGGATTAGATGAGAATATGTTTTTTACCAAAAATGTAATGGAAGTGTTTGAAGCATGGAAAGCTTGTTCCTCACTTGTTTTATCTTCACATTGAAATGAAATTCTTAAATGAATGAAAGATATGAGTATCTCCCACTGGCTGTGAATGTTTTGGTTGGTTTGTTGCAAAATCATGCTGGTATTTGTGTCATTATAGAATTGCATTTCATTACTTGGGGTGCGGGCATGATATTATTTATTCTTTTTTATTTACTTTAGGAAATCTGGAAAAAGAATCTGCAGAAAAAACAGAGAAGCTTAAYAAAATTAAGGTTGTTGCTGTAAAAGCAAAGAAAGAATTGGATACCAGTAGAAAAGAGGTACCTTGACAGCTTTCTTAATGTGAGAAACTGCATGTGAGGTTCTCTTTTAATGACACACACTTTGTTTGGTAATCAGGTACAGACTCTGAGGGAAGAATTGGAGTTGGTTCAATCAGAAAAAGATCAGTTGTCCACTTCGATGAAAGAGGTCATTCAGGGAGCTGAAAGCTATAAGGTAAGATTAGCATAATATCTGCAAAAGACAACTGTCAGAAAATACTTCTCCAGAGTACATTTGGCAAAAGAATTCAGTGCAGTTGAATCAAGGAATCAAGGAATTTAATGTTCTTAGAACTCTGTTATCAAAAGCAAATAAAGTACTTCCCCTGTTGGATGCTATTTTTAGTCCTGCTTTTCAMTATCGTATCTTATGTCTCAAACAACAGATTGTCAAGGCAATATACTTAACATTTTTCTAACTATGTAAAACTGGGAATCTGGAAGTCCTAAAGTGGTAAAGACCCAAGCTGACCATTTGAGCACATTTCTGGGCAGGTCATAGGGAGCAGTCAGCATGCATTTTCCAAGGACAAATCATGTTTGACCAAGCTGGTTACCTGTTGTGATAAAATGATTGGATTTATAAATGAGAGTGGATTGTCATTTATGTTGAWTTTAGCAAGACTTTCGAAAGTGTCTCTCATAAGTGTCTCCTATCCAAGTTAGGATGTTACAGTATAGATGGGTGCGTATCTTAAGTGGACTTAAGCAGTGGAGGGAAATAAAAAGTTGGGAAGTGGAAATTGCAGAGCTCTGTACTGCTCTGTTTCAGGCAGTACACTTGAGGACAGGGCTCCTGTTCAGAGGAGCCTACACAGGCAGGCAATGGGCTAACAGAAACCCTGGGAAGTTCAGCAAAGACGAATTTAAGGACCTGCATGTGCGAAGGAAGAATCCTCTGCTGTGATACAGGTGTGGGCTGCTTGGGGAGCAGCTCTCCTGGAAAGAATTTGAGGGTGTTTGTAACAGACAGCAAGAGGAGTGTGAGCCAAGAGGGTGCTTTGGTACTAAGGGTGCCAGCAGCATCCTGGACTATGTGAGTGAGTTAGAGAACAGCTCGTAGATTGAGGGAAGTCATCTTCTCCCTTTGGTCAGTACATCTGAGATGGCATCTAGAATATCACATCCTCTAGTATTGGGTGCCCTAGTACAAAACTAGGAGTGAGTTTAGTGGAGAGTGACCAAGATGGTTAGGGGACTGGAATACTGCATGAGGTTGAGGGAAATGAGTTTGCCCAGCCTGGAGCAGAGAAGGTATCRGGGGACTCCTAGTGACAGCCTCCTGTACGTGCAAAGAAGTTACCAAGGAAATACAGCCAGGTTCGTTATGGAAGCCAATAAAGAGAGACAAAGACRGAAACTGAAACGAGAGATTCCAACTGGATATAAGAATGGAACTTTTACTATGGAGATAATGAAGCTTTGGGACAGGCTGACCAATGAGGTTTTGTCACTTCCTTCCTTGGAGGCTTTTAGGACTTGTTGGGATAAGGCCCCAMTCTGTCTGGTCTGAACTCACAGCTGACCCGTTTTAAGCAGGAGGTTGGACTAGAGATCTCCTGAGATCTCCCTTTTAACCTGAAATCACAGTGAGTTTTGTGGACTCGAAAGATTTTCTGCTGGAGCCTAAAATGGAACTGTAGCCTTAATTTCACTCTTATTTCTGATGTTGTAGTAAGTTAACTCAGATGGTGAACTACTAAAATGTTACGTAATGTTAAGTAAGTGCCTGAGGTTAGGCAAGCACTCACAAAATACTCGAGACAAACAAAATACACAGAGCAAAAATTAAAAGTTTTTCTTTGATGTTTGTATGTACTAAGAACCTTTTGATGGAGTACGATAAGCAAGGAGAAGAGCTGGATTCTGAGAAAGGCAGAGCAAATAATCTTGAACGTCAAATAGATGACCTCACACGACAGCTGCAGGTGTCATCCCAGCAGGTTAGTTCTGTGTGTGTATCTCAGCTATTCATAATTACAGGAAAAGTTATTCTCTCTTTTAAACTCAAGTTTCTTCCCATAATTGTCACTGTAAATATTCCATAATTAAGTCCATTTTTGGATGCTTACTTGGAATTCTCTTTTTTCCTCAAATTCTGGTGTTTATCCTAGGCTGTGAGGAAAAAAAAAAAAAAAGAGAGAGAGATACTCAGAATTACTTAGCTTTTTAACAAAAAGGATTTAATTTACCTCAAGGGAACTTGTAGAAAAGAACAGTTACTTCAGTTGAAAATAATTCTTTTTTTTTTCTTCTTTTTTTTTTTTTTTTTTAAATACCTGATGTCTCCTTAGTATCAGGTGTTCAGGTGTACACAACAAAAGGGTACTGATTGTATCAGCATCAAACTTCCACTGGTATTTCTCCGATTTCTCTACATCCCCTCTTCTCATTAAGTACAGTAATCTTGATGAGTTTTTTGGTTTTTTTTCTCTCCCTCTTTGTAAGGCGAGGGGTGGGGAGGATTGGAATCTGTTTTTGTTATTTAATCAAAAGAGTTTAAACATATTAAATCATAAGGTTTTTACATCATTCACAAGAATTAAGAAAGGGGTGCATTGTGGGGTACTGTAGCTGAAATCAAACAGAAGTCACTAAGACTAGGATGCTGATTAAGGAGCTGTGAGACAAGTTTTTCAAACCTGCTTTTATTTTATTTTTTCCCTAACTGAAGTAGTTTTGGGATTTGAGATTCAAACTCCCGAGAATAGACAGCTGCACGGCTGAACTACCTTCAAGATGCAGTTAGGCCACTGTGTTTGTATAAATGGAAGCTAGCAGTAAATAGCGTAGGAAAAAATAAAAAATGGTGGCATATATTCTGGTTTTGTGAACAAGGCTGTTGTTAGGTGTTTGGCAGCTTCCCTCACTTGCACCTCTTTCTTAATCTCCACAGTAGAGACTGAGATTAAAATAAGGATGATCTCAAAATAAACCTATTAAAAATTATTGTAGCCCAAACACGAGATACTCAGAATACTCAAATACGCTGAACAAAATAACTTTAGTGACTTAGCTTTTTCCTCAGCCTTTTTCAAAAGGTGGATGAGATTTTTCAATGTCATAGTTGAATGTCTGTAGAAATACTGTTTATAAGAGAATTTGAAAATCTGCATTTCTTTTTTAAATATGAGTAATATCTTGTTACATGCAAACTCAGCTTTTTGCTTTTTTAATCTCTCGGTTATGATCATTCTAGCACAATCAGTTACAGTCTGCTAATGAAGACCTCTTGGCTCGTGTTGAAACACTGCAATCTAATGCTAAGCTGCTGGAAGCTCAGATACTGGAGAYGCAAAAAGCCAAAGCAAAAGTTGACAAAGAACTGGAAGCTGAAAAGCTTCTAAAAGAACAGAAAACAAAGGTAAAACTTTGTACAGATGGTAAATGGGGGGAAGCCTTACTTTCACTTAATGTGACTTCTGGTAGAGTTTTATAAAATCTAGTGGGTTTGTTTTTTTTTTTTTTCATCGAACACAAGTTGTTCAAAATATGTTTTCTTCTTGCCTGATTCAGCTTTTTTCAAACGCTCAGTCTGTTTGTTGAAACAACTTYGCAAACCCATCACTTAGAGTGGATTGGACCTTGTGACAGAATGAGAAACACTCCCTSATCTCTTGGGGTGTTGCTTGGTGTATGGTCGTTTCTTGAGGATTCCTGCCTTCATTGTGCATGTGTGTGGCACGTGTGGGGCAGGCGTGCATGAATTTGTGTGCTCTGCTGACAAGTGTTTTGAAGTCAGACAGTCTAACTGAGAAGTGTTTAAACTTCAGGAACATAGTGGTGCTGTCAGAGAACTAGAGGAGCTTCAGATGCAACTTCAGAAGGAAAAGAAGCATCTCCAGAAAACCATGCAAGAACTAGAGCTGGCCAGAAAGGTAGWGTGATTGTTGCTGTTCATGTTAGTGCTTAAATGACTACCAAGGATTTTGGCATACTCTGCTATTATGAATGCCCTTGAAAAATCCTYTATGTTCTGAGGAGCTTAATGCCCAAGGTATGCAAAAAGCAAGAGACAAGCTTTGGTTTTGTGTTTAGAGATCTGATATATGTGCTCCTGTGTGTATGTTAGCTTAGTTTACACAAAATACTTAAGTTTATGCAAATTACAGTAAGTAGAAATGGGAACAGAATTCTGATCTCTGCTGTACCCTACAGAACTCTGGTGCATTATTCAGAAGTTGTTCTTGTTTTGGTGAATTAGAGTCGTAGGGACTAGCACCTGCAAAATATTCACTGGCAAAGCTGCTAAAACTGTTAACAGGTTTTTGTTTAGTTGTTTACTTTCCATGTTTTCTATTCTTGATTGAAAACATTACTTATAATTAAAGGTGTGAAAACTTGGTAGGTAGGTGGTGCTTGTGGATGTTTAGGTTATAAACTTTTTGATATCCAGGGAAAAATGTTTTATATGTTTGTGTGTGTATATATATATTTTAAGTCTTTCACAGCATCCATGACAAAGTAAGTTAGAACTTCACTATTTGTAACTTGCAGGATGCTCAGAAGAGTACACTGATGGATATGGAAATAGCTGATTATGAAAGGCTAGTAAAAGAACTTAATCAGAAGATTACTGATAAAGACAGTAAAATAGAAGATCTTGAGCAGGAAAACAGAATTCAGAAGCAGAAACAAGAAACTCTACAAGAAGAGATAAGTGAGTTATAAATAAACAGGAGTCACTATGGTATAGTCAGAAGTGGTGTAACGTACAATTCAGAAGSATTTTCTCATGTCAGTGGCTAGGAGAGGCTTACAGGAAATAGTAAACTTAAACATCCTTTTCCATTAAGTGAACTTCACTAGGTTGTAAATCTCTTGAATTTAGTAGCCAGAAATAATAAACAATGGACTTTAATAAGCTGTATTTCTTATCTGATTAACTTAATCATAATTGCGGAAAGTGAGTAATTGGCAGGGGCTTTCAGTCTGACAGACCACTCTGATAAAATTTTGTTCTTTAGTGTTTTAAAACTTCTTTTTTTCCTATCCTTATATGTAAGTCTTAAAGCAATTTCATTTAGAAAACTGTGTGGTATGTATGCTGAACTTAATTTGAGCTACTTGTTTGCATCTTTCTTAGGAAATATGTCAGAACTTATTTAAATATTTTTCTAGTATCTTTAAGGAAATACAGGAGGGAAGTTTTCCTTGCACATAACTGCTGTTTTCTGCCTTAGAGTCGTTGCAGTCATCTATGCAACAGGATGAGGAAAGAAATGCCAAGATAAAACAACTGCTTGTGAAAACCAAGAAAGAACTGGCTGATTCGAAACAAGCTGTAAGTGCAGTTGTTAATGACTATATAATCTTTTTTTAAGCCAGCTTCTTAGAAYCTGGACTTGTAGCTGAATTAAGTTGGTGAAGTTGATGAATTAAGTTGATGAAGTTTGTGGAGGCTTTTTGTTTTGYTTTTGTTTCTAATTAACTAGCTATTTTTATCCTGCAGGAAAATGACCACCTAATGCTGCAAGCATCACTGAAAGGAGAGCTAGAAGCCAGTCAACAACAAGTGGACACCTATAAGGCAAGAAACTTCATTTCTTCATTAGTAAAAGTTACATGTTTAAGTAATAAGGGTGTGATTTGTCCTGGGCAGATGGAACATATACTTAAGAATGCAAGCATGATATTTTTACTACAGAACAGCACAGTGCTTCTGTTTCTTGAATTAATTTTGTCTCTTTGCTGTTTCTCACAAATACTTCTTCTGTGGTGTACTTTAAGTTGCCAGAGTATATGGGAGCATTTTGATGATGCAGAATAAAGAAAACAGTGGAAACAGAAAAGAAAGCACAAAGGGTCACAATGATGTATTAGGAGAAGAAAAGTGGGACAGAACTTTTGTTTATCTTATTTCAGACTTATTTCTAACTTCCAACTGCACTTTTTTTTAGTTACGATTGTTCTACCAGATTTGGAAATAAGTGAGATTGTATGTGCAATGCACCTGCATAGATCCCTGCATACAACAYAATATTCTTTTATTCTCACTCAATACGTGGCCTTGAAATTCTTATTAACAGCATATTAAAAATTTGTAAGAAGAGAGTTAGATTCCAAGTTGTTAATTTGTGTTTTCAACTTAGGATAGACTGTTCATTGATTTGACAGAGAACCTGCTCCTTACCCTTTCTTGTTCCTTTCCTTTCACTTGCCATGAAAAGGCTGATCCATGTGAAGCTTGTAACGAGGATAAGTTTAAAATATTTTCTTTAAATAGGGTGGATTTTTAAAAAAAAAAAAAAAAATAAAAGCTACCTCCTACTACAATGTTTTCTCTGCAGTTGTCTCTTTCAACCATACCTTGTCCTAATTATCCTAATAATAGGAATCTAGGCCCTGCGGCATGTCCTGCTTGAAGGGGGAAGAAAATCTCTGGCTTACTGAAGGCTTAAGTTGCAAACTGACTTTTTCAGATTCAAGTGGCTATGCTGACATCAGAGAAGCACAAAATCCAGGAACATCTGCGAACTTCTTCAGAGCAGCACCAGCGCACGCTGACTGCTTACCAGCTAAAAATTGCAGCCTTGCAAGAAGAATGCAGAACAGCCCAGGTACTGCAGTAGAAGGAATAGTTAGTCCCTTTWTCAGGAAAATGTACTTCACTTGGTGTCTGCTTCTCTAAAAATATTTTGAAGGCCTTTTATTCCTGCTTACTTGTCTATCAAAAATTGGGATTATCTCAGTGTTTGAAGGTACAGAGGACAAAGGGGCTTTCTCCTGGTTGGCATGTACCRCTTCTGGAGAGTGCCTGGATTGTAGTTTTATATTTCAGTTGTRCTTTTTTTGGCCTGCATTAGAACTGAAAGTCTTGTGGTACGGTGAAGGAAAGGGAGTTCATTAAGATGATCAGCCAACTTCTACTGTGGAGGAGAGAGAAATATCAACAAGTCCTAAGGAAGGAGAGGAAAACAAAAAGTCAGACAAAAWTATTCTGCAATGGAATATTACTTGCTTCATGTAGGAACAGTTAACATTTTTTTTTAAATGATAGCTATGGAAAACAAATTCTTRAGCACATTTTAATACACTGTGAACAGAGCAACTTTTTTACTTGTCAAGTGAGCTATACATGAAAAGAACACTAATGCTGAGTTACTTTTATTTTTAGCTTTATATGACAGTATTTCAGACATTCCTGGAAGGTAGTCTTTACATTAAAAACCCACAGGCTCAGARTATAATAGGACTACTGTTCTGATGAAACCATGTTTATGTAGCTTACTACACCATATTACACTATTGCATGAGAGGTGTAAATAAATAATAACAAGATGTGAACACAACCCCAAAGAAATTTCAAAGTTGCAAGAAAGCAAAGTGAAATGGGCAAATTCTGATTGTTGCTGATGTGGGAAACTTAAACTTGCATGAATCATGCTGGAAGATATGGATCACTATTTTACAAGTGCCATCTTCATAGTAGAAGAGTCCTTTGGTTGTGAACATCTGTTGAATTTAACTTTTGAATTTGCAGGAWAATTTTTTGGTAATTGGTATGTTATAATATCAGTGTTTTATTTTTCAAGTTTTATTAAACTAATTAAAAGCTAAAGCAGCATGTTCTGTTATGATAGTTAYTTAAATTATCCATTCAAAAGAGGAAATGTAACTGGTAGTTCACTTATTTGATATTTTGTGCAAGATGCATTTTACTTCAGAAAAAAACATGGGCAGTAGTCAATAGCATWATTTACTGTGGGTGTGTTTTCTGTGCGATAGGTAGAACAAGCAGCTGTTACTTCTGAATTTGAGAGCTACAAAGTCCGTGTTCATAATGTTCTTAAACAACAAAAGAATAAATCTGCTTCTCAAACAGAAACGGAGGGAGCCAAGCAAGAAAGGTAAAACCAGCATTATTTTGTATACATACAGAAAGTACTGATTCCTGAGTATTTTTGAAAAGATACTAGCAAAGGCAAGCACAAATAAATTTTGTTGTTTAATATTTTGCTTGAATAAATATAGAAATGAAAGTGACAGAGGGAGAGAGAGGCACTTTGCTTTCCCAGTGCCTTTGGTGTGAATAAAATTGAATTGATAGGGGAAAAGAGTTATCTCATCACTAAGCAGAGTTCCTTTGTGTGGTTCTAGTTGTCCAAAGGGAAGGTCAGCGTGTACTGCATCAGAGTCTGTATCTGGTACTATGTTAGTTTCAGATTCCTTGATTTAGTTATCTTTTGTTCAAGTAGATGAATGTTAGAGTAGATTACCTGGTCTCACAGTGCAAGGAATTAATAAAAGCTGTTAGGAAGATTGCCTTGTTTTTTAATGAGCAGAGTTAATTATGGCTTGTTGSGTAAAACTGTAAAACTGACCTATCATTTTCCCTGACAAAGCATTTCAGCAAAAAGCCATTTCCATTTAAGAGATTGTTACTGTTAACTGATCTCATTTTGAACTTGTGCAGTGAGAGTTGTTTAGTGTAGACACAGCTCTAACTGCCACCAGAGGGAGACTTGTGTTTGTATTTCTTTGTCTCACCTCTTGGGAGAATTTTAAGAATTTTCTGATATTGTTAAAGTGTTGGGCAAGAGGGTCACTTTGGAAAGTAAGCAGATGAATAATCAAGCAATAAACAAGTGGTAAACAATTTTCAAAGAAGTAATTTCTGGGCATCAACTTTAAAGGTTAAGTAGATATGTAGTTTAGGAAATGATAGAGATGACTGCAGTGAAAATACAGAAATAAAGTAAGAATGCATTTGATTAGATAAGAAAGAAATGGGTCCCATTTGATTTGGGGGCAGCAGTGTGCCCATTTTTATGGATTGATGTTGCTTTATATTCCTTTGCTGAAAATCTCCTCCARCCACCTCCTCTTTCCTGTGTTTAGTCTCGACAGACATGTTTATTAAACAACAAACTTCCCTCCCTTTTGAGCAGGTTTTTTCTTYTTGCCCATCTGCATCCCAGCTATTACTCTCCTTGTTTTATTCCTATGAACTTACTGTGAGTTAAAAGTTACAGTAGCCATATTTTCTACCCCATCAGTTGTCTTTCCAGCCATTCAGACTTGATTAGTCTATTTGTAGCTCTGCTCAAGTTCAGTCAGAGCTTTCATAGTCAGTTGTGTTGKTTGTTTGTTTGTTTGTTTGTTTGGAGGGGGCTTGTGGTGGGAAACAGATTATTTCAGATCAGCTATTCAAAACTTTTGGATAAGATGTAGATCATGACATAACACAACTGTCTCTTATGAACTCTGTTCTTTTCTCCCCTTGTAGAGAACACTTTGAAATGATGATAGATCAACTTAAAGTTAAGCTACAAGACACTCAGCATAATTTACAGCTCAATGCAGCTGAACTCCAAGCCCTGCAGTCTGAGCATGACACCCTGCTGGAAAGACACAATAAGATGCTGCAAGAGACTGTTGCAAAAGAGGCAGAGCTCCGGGAAAAGTAYGGTTATTTGAATAGATAGAGAAATTTTGTTTTGTGGGAAATTTCTAAGGCCTGGCTGTGCAGCTGGCCTTGAACTGTGTTTCCCAAGGAAAGGGCATAACTGTTGAGAAAGTTAAAGGAATTTCCAGAGGGCTGGTTTGCAACAAACAGTCATGAGGCACTTTGAGATTCTAAGAATGTGTAAACCAGAGCGTTTCTAATACTTCTATTTTTTTTTTCTAACAATCTTTGTATTTTATGTCCTGAAAAACAAGTATTTATTTAGCACGGTGCATTCATATGATAGGAGTAAATATTTTTTTTCCAATTTTAGAATGGCCTTTGGAAAACGTAAATTTAAATTGGGGGGGGGAGTTATATAAGTATGTAAATTAAACAACTTAAAACTACTACTGCAAAAGCCGTGACATGTCAAATTCACTGCAAGTTCTGTGTTGCTTCTTGTGTTTTGCGTTCGCGCTGTTTTCAGGCTCTGCACAATACAGTCTGAGAACATGGTCATGAAAACAGAGCACGCCCAGAGTCTGAGCCAGCTGACAGCCCAGAACGAAGCTCTCCGGAACAATTTCAGAGATCAAGTCAGGAACCTGCAAGAAGAGCACAGGAAGACGGTAGAGACACTTCAGCAACAACTGTCCAGGGTAGAAGCCCAGTTCTTCCAGCTCAAGAGTGAACCAAACACTAAAGGTAACTCCCCGTCATAAACGGAGGTTTTCTGGGGATAGGTACAACCTGTGTGTACCTGAGATAGTCTGAAAGTTCCCTGCTGTGGGCAGATCTCTAATAAACAAGAAATATGCATGAAACTTTCCAGAGAATTTGCAGCTTGTAAATTGACTTGGTATCAATCCATCAATACCAAGTAAAGAAAGGGCTTTTGTTGTTATTGTCAGTTCAGAATCAGCATAGTTCCTCTTTCCTGCAGTGTCTGCATCATCAGAAGGATTGAGGAAAACCTCCTTGTAATGCTGTGCGGCTCTTAGCAGTTTGTCTCAGAATTTGGAAAGGTTACTGGGCTTCAGATAAATTCGTGTTGAAGCTTGATTGCACTAGAATTCTTTTAACAATGTTTGTTATTGGTTCCCTCTGCTATTTGAATCTTTTAACTTTCTATTTTACTGTGTCAAGATGAAATTGTTTAGATTTTCTGCTTGTATTTTTATATACTTCAATATATATATTTATATTTAATGCATACCACATAAAAATATTAAGCAAATGTTTATATTTTTATACTTTCATATTCAGAGTTATTGTTTAGGATGTAAGCAAAAAAAAGTCTAACARGCAGCAATAGCAGTTGAAAAAATTACTCATTCCATGTATTACTGTTCCCTAACTGTGATTGCACTGAAGCAGCAGCAAAACATGCAAAATAACAAAACGAGCTATTTACACCACCTGCAAGACTGGTTCAGAGAAGTTAATTATTCTTTTGGATCATGAGCATTTGGTGCTAATGAGGTATAGATTTAGAAAAATGCTTCCATTTAAGTGGCTATTGGAAGTGAAAAAAATGTTTTTTTTTTCCTTAGGAGTTTTCACCTTTCATCCCCCTACCTTTTTAAAAGACTGCAATGTATGCACTGCTCTGTAAGGCAGTCACACCTGTGAAATAGCTCCCTTGGTTTCCTTCTCTTGACAGACATGGTTGGGTATCTTTCAGGTCCAGCTGTTTCACATCCAGCAACRAAGAACTTAAAGGAACGGCGAAACACGGACCTTCCAGTTCTTGATATGCACGCGGTAGCCAGGGAAGAGGGAGAAGGCATGGAAACCACGGACACAGAGTCCGTCTCTTCCGCCAGCACCCACGTGCCATCCTTAGAACAACTTCTGAACTCCCCAGAAGCCAAACACGGTTAGTAGAACCTGTGGCTTTTTTAAAAGCACTTGCCTGTGCAAGTTGCAGAAATCTGTACCCTAAAATACCTAAGAAAATAATGTTTTCATGCTTTTAGGTGCGAGACATCTATGTTTTTCATGCCACTGAGAGTACAGAGTCCTGATTTCAATATCTTGCCTCTTGAGTGAGGGCTAACAATAAAATGTTGCTATTGGACTTTATGGTTTTATATTGATATATACCCTTCCTAGGGGAAAAAGAACAGATAAGTCAGCAAAAGGAATTAGAGCAGGACTTAGACTATCCTCTACTTGGGAAAATTGTGTGTTAATCTAACTCATTTAATGAAAGTATATAATGTGTGTTTGTCTTAAAATGGCTAAGTCAGAGAGACATTCATTGATAAGTTTTTTAGAAAAATGAAAACCAGCATGTAAAGTGAGGTCTCAAGAGTCCTGCAAAATATATGGCAGTATACAGTCAGGTTTAAAAAGTGTCTTGAAAGCTTCTGGATAAATATTGAAAGTTCCCATTTATGGGTTAGAATCAAGGATTTAAACAAAGCTATGTATCCTGCCTGACCTAGATTGACTGATCTGCTTCTGAACAGAAGCAGATAAACTGCACGTGCAGCAGCAGCACTGGCAACTGCTAATTTTGAAGTCTGAGTTTGCATGGATTTCATTTCTTGTATAGATCTAAAAACACATTAATGAAGCCCTAAAGTTATTTAAGTATCGTAAAATAAATGCAAGTGGCTTGTCCTTTCCTCAGTTTTCTTTTCCAATTAATTGCAGAACCATCTCAGTGGCAAACAGAACTGACCAAGGATGAGCTGCTTCAGAAGCTGAACACCACAGCCAAGAGTGCTGATCACTTGAACGAATTACTTCGTGAATCAGAAGCCACCAATGCAATCTTAATGGAGCAAATCAAGGTTAGCAGATATGCTGGAAACAGGGAACTGCTGTGACTTCTGCAGTCTCTGTCAAAGACAAAATGTTTAATAACAAATATCCTTCAGAAAAATCCAGTATTCACATTTCCAAGGGGAGAAGGCAGGCTGCTATGAGTGTAGGGGAAATATCCATGCTTTCTTCTGCAGAAATAATTAGCACTTCCAAAGTCTGATTTTATTTTGTTTTATTTTTTTCTCTAGTTTCTAAAGGCTTTGGGGTGAATGGGATGGTTGYTTAAAAACTGCCATCAAAACCCCTGAAGTTGGATTTTAACATCTAATATATTTTTTGCTGTTTTCACTGTGACAAAAACAGTATGTTACAAGTTAGGTCTCTCTCTCTCTGTAACATCTTTTAACTGCGTTAAATCAAAAGATGTTTGAAGATACACTGGCACTAATAGTTTGGTATTACTCCAAACTCCAAAGCCTCTCTGAGCTTTCTGGGAACATTTTTGAAGCAACCTATTAGCTAAACATGCTAAGCTTTTTTTTTTTTTTTTTTCAAAAGCTTCATAATTAAAGATAATTTTGTTAAAACTTTGATAATACAGATTATTTAATTGTTCAACTCTTAATCCTGATCACTAAAATCAGTTATTCTTCTAAAGAGATGTAGTATTAACAATTCACTTTTACAGCAGTGTTGTTTTCTGGTTTTTTTTCTAGATAATATTATCACCTCTTCAGGTTTCTTTGGACTTTTGTCCTGTGTGCTTTGCGGTGTTCATGTTACACTTTCAGCAGTAGGCTGTATAACTTGCTCTGCTCTTTACAAGGCCTTTGTTCAATGACCCATGATGTGAAACAACAACCACTGCGTGTTCTTTCTTCATCTGCAGCTTCTTAAGAATGAAATAAGAAGATTGGAAAGAAATCAAGAAAGAGAAAAGTCCGTGGCTAACCTAGAATACTTGAAGAATGTTCTGTTGCAGTTTATATTTCTCAAATCAGGAAGTGAGAGAGAGAGGCTTCTTCCAGTAATAGATACCATGCTGCAGCTCAGCCCAGAAGAGAAAGGGAAGCTAGTTGCAATTGCCCAAGGTATGTCCCCTTCACAATGTTGTCCTAGAAGAACAGAAATCAATATGGGCAGGAGGGTAGGAAGCAGCTGCAGTTTTGTGCTTTAATTTGTGTAGACCTTTGTGCTGTTTCGCTTTATTTTTTTCATAGTGACAAGGAGCTAGCAATGAAGTAGGGAGTTAGTATTCATACTCTCATAAAACAGATCAAGTACTCCCAAAGGATAAATAAAGCTAAGGTAAAGTATGATTTCTTCTAAAACAATTGTGCTTCTTCTTTGGTCCTTTAAAGGTGGTTTATGATAGTTTTTAGTAAAACTACAGCAAGTTGTAAAAATTTTATGGGTTCATGTTTTGATAGAATTAGGAATTTTTGTCAGAGAGACATGAAAATAGAGATTTCTATAAATGGGTTTTTCTTTTTGGCAGATGTTCTGAAAAGATACTAAGTGGTCCTCACAAAGCTGTATTGCAGATGTTGTTTCAATCTAGTATCAGTATGTTAGCTTTGAAAATCACTTCAACAGAACATGCTTTAGTTTAATGACTATAGGGACTTAGAAAATAAGAAGAGTTTAGCCTCTGCACAAAATGAACCCAAAGAGCTGACTGAGTACTAGTGTTCTGACTTCTCTTCAGATAGCCTATTTTCTTGTTTGCCCTCTTAAACTTTTTTGTGATTCTCTGTATCTTCTCAGTAATATGTTGCCCRCTTGTCCTTTGTTAGCAGCTGACTTGTATTTTATTTTTAAAMATACTATAAAGTGTAAATGCAGTACTACAGTTCTTATCCATGTGGGATGTGTTTTCACTATTATTGCTTCACTAATGCCTTACATGAAAGGATTTGCATATAGAAAGGGGTAAATTAAATCCATAAAATCGAGATGTTTGTTCTGGTGCTGTTAGTGAGCACGGACTGAGTTTTTCAGGGAAAAGCTGATGAAATTTTCAGAAGCCCTTTTAGGTAYCCAAAGTAAAGTGTAAATGGTGGTAAAATGCATGTACGTGACTGGCAAGTCTAGGGCAAGTACTGAGTGTTAGAAACTTGATGACAARATAACAAGGTCAGCATTTGGAAGCTGAGTGGGGAGGAAGAGGAATCGAGGTCACTTCACCAAATGATTCCATGTTCAGTGTAATAAAGTTACTTTAAAGTGTGCCTTTCTTTTTTCAGGTGAGGAAGAAAGTGCCACACGACCTTCTGGGTGGGCTTCGTACCTCCACAGCTGGTCAGGACTTCGATGAGACAGTGGAAACGCCTGATCTTTTACATATGTTCTACAGTTCCACAAAGGGGAATCTTAATGTAGAGAAGCAACTCATAGGTACTCTAGTGCTGACCAATATATTTTTGTTTCCGTGTATTATTTTGAGCTTTGGAGGCTGGTTGAAGAAAGAAGTCCTTGGCACCTCTGAAAGACTGTCCTGTTTCACATCCTGACAGCAGTAAGCTACTTGGTTCTCTTGTAAGCGTTTAGAAAAGCTGATGACCAGAAGCATAATGAGAAGTGACAAATTGATTGTAAATTACTCGGAAACAGCGTTTGAGCAGCTTGCCACAGGTCCTGTGATACTGTTAAAAACATAAAGTAGTAACTGGAATAACTGGACTTAAAGCATTTTGAAGTGTTTACAGTTTCTTTCACATTTTCCTTCAGCTTGCTGCTCTGTGTCATTCATGCTATTCTCTGCATGTTGAAGAAGTTAAAAATCAAAGTAATTTCTCTCTGTAGTGACACTTTGAAAACATAAGATCACTCCAAAACAGAAATGGTATTTTCTGTTTTGACTTCACTAAAAATTTAGTCTTGGTTATATTTTTTTGTGGTAAAGGTAGGTTGATAATAGGAAGGAAAGGTTGCAAATGCATAAAACTTTTGATGGCATCTGTGGAAGTCCTGGGGTAAGAATCAGAGGTCATAAGTGAGCTGTAAATTCACAGAAGAGGTTTAAGCTGTGAATATTAAGCCTAAGTTTGGAAGTTCGTGCTTAAAAACAGGAACAAATGTGACATCGCCTTTAGTGATGCCTGTGCTTGAGTGAAGAAACTACTCATACAGAGACACTAAAGGAAGATTCCCAATGTATAGGCCAGCTTCCTAAGAGTAACTTCAAAGAGAAGGGAAAGAGCATTTGCCAGTAGGTAAGTGATTAAAGAAGTTGCATCCTTCTCTCTCGCTGCTCCACGTTTGCACACATCTCATTTGCACAGCTCTTCTGCACGGGTGCTTCAGGCTGTTCCACCTTCCTAAGCAGAATAGGGTGTGTTTTCTTTTGTTGTTTTTTGTTTGTTTGTTTTCATGAAAAAATACATTGCTGCCATGTTGTGGCTTTTATTATGAACACAGCACTTTCAAAGTTCTTGTTTGAGTCATCATCTTTTTCCTTTTCTAGCYTATGCTGCCTTTCACTGTCTTAACTTATTTTTATATTAGTAAAATGTGTAAACCTGCTTATACCTCCTGCTTATCTTTAATTTTTTTAATCACTCCTTTGTTTTCATCTCCTCAGTGATGTTTTTACAGTGTTAAATCATTCCCTGCAGAAAGAGTTAGAAAAGTGGGCAGAAGGAGTTGGCTCACTTTGAGAATAAACTGATCAGGAACTGTGCTTTTGKTTTTTTTGTTTTGTTTTGCTTGTATATATTTCAGCAATCAGTTGATAGAGCCAAAGGATTTAGATGTTTGAATTATTTTTCACCCTGTTTTAAGCACCTTCCACCACGTGCTTTACCTGGAAACACCTGGTGTGGACTTTCAGATCACAGAACTGACATTTGGGAGAGCAGGGGGGAGTCTCTTAGCATGGAAATGTAGATAGCAAACATGAGACTTCATCCTGGCCTTTTTTCACTTGCTTTTGAAACCATAATGGTATCTTCCACATTCATGACTTGCTGTAAGTCTCAGATAATTAATTYCAAACCCTTCTAATTTGCATCTGGATTCCATTAATGTCATTTAAAAGTATGCCAGACCAGAACTAGGGGAGAGGGATTTCAAGTAGGCAAAAAAAAAAAAAAGAAAAAATGCAAGTCATTCTGTTGCTGTGGTTTTAACAATGGAAGCATGTGAGAGAAACGGTACAGTGTTTTTCTCCAAATTCAGTTTGCTGTTGACCTGATTCTTTTCTTTGCACACCCTCTGCTCAACTTTATGCAGCTTTATCTTTAACCATTTGTGACAACTTCTTTTAAAATGCACGTGTTTCAGAACTGTAGATTATTTAACATTTTCAAACTGTGAATAAATATATGTAAGTAGTATATATTCCTGGCTGTATTAAATACCAGTTACTTTTTTCAGATTGGAGTTGCATGCTCACTGATTTTAGTAAAACTCGAGTATTGTACTTCTGAAGGTAATGGACACCTCTGGCATTGCTCTATTTTTTTACTGTGGAAGTTTAAGGTCTTGAAGAGCGTAAAAATATTTTAATAACTGCTATTAAACTGTTCTGTAGCTGAGATTGCCAGAACTTGCCTTTTTGGCTACTGTCTGAAGAAAGGAAATATAGCAAGGTTTAAAATGCACTTGCAATATATGACATAGAAGAATGTTGATTGGAAGCAAGACTATTTTGCCTGGGAAAAACTTTGTATTACATATATTTGCATTTGTAATGTATAGCACTCGTGACTTGCTGTSCAAAAAAATCTTCAATTATAACTAGTCCTGCTGCTCCTGATCGTATTGTGGTGCTCTTTCCTGGAAGAGCAGCGTGACTTTGCTTTCCGCTCCTGCAATTGTCTGCCTGTTTTTACACTGCCATAGTTGTTAGGATGCTTCCCAGAARATGTGTCCCCCTGCCCAAAGAGTGTACAGCTTAGGACCAAATTTTACTCTTCCGTCAGCCTGCCTTCGCCCAAGCCTCAGGAGACTACAGTCATTAAGGGAAAAAAGGAGAGAGGAAAAAAAAAAACGACTCTAGTTGTTGTCACTCCGTAGAGTGTATATATAGAAAGCAAGTAAATAACCAAAGTGGAGAGGGCCTCCGAGTCCCCAGGCCYGGGTGTGCGCTGTGGCTGCGGTTTAACTACCTGTTCTGGGTTGGCAACAGCATGTGCCTTTGTGTCCTTCCTTTCTGCAGAARGGATACCCGTCTGTGCGAGCCAGGTACGCTCCGAAAGCAAAACAGGGAGACGAGAACACGGGAGGCTGTAGCGTCGGTGCGACTGGCTGGGTTGGGGGTTCAGGGTATGCCCAGAAGGAACCTGTGTTAGAAGCTGTGCGTGGGGGTGGCAGGAGGGAGAGAAAGAGAAAAAGGCTGCTTTTTTCTAAGTGTAATTGAGAGATTATATGGTGAAATTAYGTTCTAAATTTTATTCTTCCTTGCCCTATCTCCCCCCATCCTTTTGCCTTGGTAACAAACAAGGTATCCTAAAATTGTAGAGGGATCTTTAGGAACTCTTGTATCTGTAAGGATGCTCTAAGAGGCTTTAAAGGTAGCCCCTAACCTCACTGTTTAGCTCTGCCATGAAAATGCCTCCCTTCAGAACCTGCAAGGAGCAGTTGCCACCCACCGAGACACCACATGTATGAAGAGGTTAAAAACAAGTATTTGTTGCAGTAATTTCAGAATTACTAGTCTGACTATATCAAACTGTTTGGGTTGGAAATGTGACTTTCAAACGAGYGGTGTCCTTTTCATGTGGCCATCACTTCAATAAAAATCATCCTTACTGAGCTGGGTACCTTTTGTTTGCTTCTTTTTATCGCCTGAATGTCTGCTGTTAGCTGAGAAAATGCTAATGGAGCGATTTGTTTGCAGGTGGAAAACRGGGGGTATCTGCTGTGGTGTTAAAGAGGGTCTGGATCTACTGTAGGAGGTTGGTTGTAGTAAGAATGCAGTTCTTACTTTTGAACAYGAGGCACGTGAGATATTTCTTTGTAATGGATGCAAAGGGAAAAAAATTATATATATTTTTTGTAAAGTAATTCTTAAAAGGAAAAAAGTGATTAAACTTGCTGATTAAAGTTAATTGAGATGTATTACTAGATTGTTASTGATAATATCTGACATGGAGGGGAGGAGGAATAAAGGGTATTAATGTGTAATTCAAAAGGTTTACTTTTGGTTTGCTTTTAGATTTTTTCATCTCATCAGCAAGAACAGTTCAACAATGGAAGAGTGCTAATAATAGCACTCAACTTTGAAGTAATTCTTGTATGTAGTTACCCCTTTTTTGGATTCCCTGTGATGCTTTTTGGATATTTCTACTCTACTCAGYTCTGGTGAGCTCAYACCTGGAGTAYTGTGTGCAGTTCTGGGCTCCCCAGATGTGGAGCTTCTAGAGAGGGYCCAGCGGAGGGCAATAAAGATGATTAAGGGAMTGGAACATCTGTCCTACGAGGAGATACTGAGTGAGTTGGGCCTCTTTTCTTTGGAGAAGAGAAGGCTGAGAGGGGATCTGATTAATATGTATAAGTACGTGAAGGGGGAATGTAGGGAGGAAGGGGCCAAGCTCTTCCCAGTGGTGGCCAGKGACAGGACAAGGGGTAGTGGATGTAAGCTGCAACACAGGTAGTTCCATCTGCATGTGAGGAGGAACTTCTTCCCTGTGAGGGTGACAGAGCCCTGGCACAGGCTGCCCAGGGAGGCTGTGGAGTCTCCTTCTCCAGAGATCTTCCAAACCCACCCGGATGCCGCCCTGTGCCCCGTGCTCTGGGTGTCCCTGCTGGAGCAGGGAGGGGTTGGTCTAGATGATCTCTAGGGGTCCTTTCCAACCTCAACCATTCTGTGATCTACACAGCCAGAACAAAAGAAGATGCTATGAAAATAACTAGGTTGGTTGTGGGGTTGTATGGGGT